TTTACCTGTTGAAGCTGTCTGTTGTTCAGCAAAGGGATCACTCTGGAACGGGTCACCTGGATTGGAAGAGAGAGGAACGTTCGGCTCTGTGGTAGAAATGACCCTGGCAGAGCAAAGACGGACAGCAGGGGCGGCCACTGGCCGAGGTGGTTTCTCATAGCGAGGACGGCCGAGGTGGAAAGAAGAGTGCTGCTCGCCGCTCGGCATGGCCGAGGGACAAGTGGGGGCCGTGGGACAAGCCAGCACTCACCCTCTCCCCTCCACGTGTCACGGCCCCAGCCCTCACCCCATCCCACGACCCTGGGACCACCTCCCTGGGCCACACGGCAGCCCTGGAGTGAGGCTGAGCTCCCATCTAAATCTGCACTCTGGGTGGGAGCTGCTCGGCTGTCTCTCAGACCTAAGGGGCTTCCACTCCACGTCTAACACTGGGAAGTGCTCCCACTGCCTGCTCCCTTCCTCGGCATTTTTCTCAGAAACTTACAGATAGCCTTCCTGGAAACACTGTTTTGCTCTGCAACAAATGGAGAGACTTAGGAAATCTTGTCTGTAGAATCCTGTTCAGGTACTCTTGGCTTGTGTGTGGCTCTGGGTGAACTCACCACGTAAGACTTCAGATACTTGTGTGGGCATCTGCTGTTTACTGGGTGGTTTCACAATCATTACTACATCTGATTATCTTATCAGTCCTGCGAGGCGGATGGGAACTGGGCACCCAGAGTCTCCGGGCCAACCAAGCAAGCCGCCCTTGAACGTGGGCGTCTCTCAGTGAGCTTGGAGCTCTCCCCCGACCCCTAGATCTTTAGTTAACCAGGTGAGGTGAAAATCTCAAGAGGCCCACTACGCTCAAAGAATTCTTTCCCTCTCCCACTTCAGAGGGTGGGATCTCCTAACTGTTCTAGTCACCAGGCAATCCTAAAAGGCACAAAACAAACAGGCTTGTGATGAGAAAGTAAGTGGGTGCCAAACGAGATACCTTTGAAGGGATCGGCTCCTTTAAATGGGTCAGATTTGAAGGGGTCTTCTGCCTGGAAAGGATCCGGATGCAATTCCTGGGCGTTGTTGCTAAATAACAAGGCTTTATTTTTGAAAGGATCATCCTATAATTTTGTGAAGAGACACGACAGGGATTTAATTATTTCATATTTAAAGCAAAGTACAGAATTCTATACCTAATGCATATATTTCCCCTTTAAGTGATGTGACCTAAAAGAAAATGATTGTTAAAAAAAAAATCACCAAAGAAAGATGGCCTTCAGTTAATAATAATGTGTCAACACTGGGTTCACTAGTTGTGGCAAATATACTGCATGAGGTGTTAATAATGGGGAAGCTAGCTGTGGGGCAGATGGGAACTCTCTGTACTATCTTTGCAACTTTTCTGTAAGTCTTCTAAAATGAAAGTTTATTTAAAAATCATTGAGTGGGAGCAATCGAGCGTCCACTGCTGGATGAATGAATAAACAAAATGTGGCTTGCACATACAATGGAATACTACTCAGCCTTAAAAAGGAAGGGACTTCTGACACATGTTCCGTGGATAAACGTTGAAGACATTATGCTCAGTGAAAGAAGCCGGTCACAAGAAGACAAATGCTGTGTGATGCTACTTATATGAGGTCCCCAGAGCTATCAAATTCAAAGAGACAGAAAGCAGAACAGTGGCTGCCAGGGGCTGGGGGAGGGCGGATGGGGAACCGATGTTTAACGGGTATGAACAAGCTCTGAGCTTAGCTGCACAACATGAATATACTTAACACTACTGAACCGTGTACTCAAAAAAATGGTTCGGATGATAAACGTTATGTGTATTTTACCACAACTAGAAAAAAAAAATTTTTTTAAACCACTGAGTCAGAAAAAAAAGTCACATGTTGGAAATGTCAGAAAGAAAATGTAACAAGCCACCCAACAACGGTAGCCAGGGGCCGTTCAAAGGTGTGCCTCCCTCAACCACCTTCTCGGAGAGTATGTACCTATGTGGGCATTTTGAAAAATGCTGTTTCCACATCAAGAAACCTGAAGCTATTTACATCCTGAGAGGAAATGAGTGCTTATGCAGTTAGAACATAACTACTAGAGCATACACAGCACTTTGCATTTTTTTTTAAAGTACTTATTTCTAGAAACAAACAAGCATATTTAAATCAAAAGAAAAAAAAACCTTGCTTTTGAAGAGCAAGTTTTTATAGTGGAAAATGATCTGGGGGGAGGGGGCACACAACATACGCGGGAACAATGCACTTGGGTTAGAAATTCTGAGATATTTTGGTTAATAAAGACACACCCTCAGTGAAAACACGAAGGTTTCACTATGATATTAAAAAGCACAACATCCTCACCGAATCTGGGCAATGTGTCAGCATCCATGGAGCTGCGAACTCAGCCACTATTGCAACTGACAAAACCAAATGATTAAAGAGCTGAGGCTTCTGTGAAAGCATGGATAACGGTCACAGGGCAACGACGTCAAAGGTGCCAAAGGAAGATTCCTAAAGAGGCTCTGACCCCCCTGAGCCGCTTGACTTCGGGAGTAGGACGGGGCTCAGAGGTGCCAGGCTAAGAGGAAGCCATGGGTTTTGGAAGGATGAACCAACACCCCTTCCCTCTGCTGAAGCCAAAAGGATGTTCCTTACCTGAGAAAGGGCCTCCAGCCACAGGGCTTCCCGGGGTGGGGAAACTGAGCCAGTTCTCGGGCAAGCACCATGTCTGGCAGCAGTGCACAGACTCAGTAAGGATGCTGCGGCGCTAACTAGCGTGAGATGCATGCACCAGCCAGCATGCAACCAGGTCTGAGACACAGGTCAGTACCATGGAGAAGTCCTAATCTAAGGGAACGGTAAGGCCGGCGTGGAGAATAAACCGCTCGCTCTGTACCGCAGGGGAAAGAACCTAACTGCTCCAGAAGAACAGAGAGAGAGACGATGACCTGGATAGAGGGGTGCATTAAGAAGGACCACTTGGCCTCGGAATGGAAGCTTCTACTTAGTTTTTAATTGGCACTGATGTACAAATCGCTTGGTTTGGTTCTGGTTTTTTAAAATGTTTTCAGTTGTCACTTGGAAGACTGACAAATTGAACAGTGGACAATGGCAGAGGAGACTGATTCTGGCGACTCTGGTCGTAAGCCCCTGTACTGAAAAGTCAGGTCTGCGACTGTCTGAGGCAGCAACCAGTCCCTCCCCTTCAAAGGAGAAGCCTAAGAAGACCCCAGCAGGATTCATGTGGTTAGGGTAACCACTGGTGGCTCAGATTCCATTTGACAGATAAAGAGCAGAAAACTAGATTTCCCCTGGCACAGAGATGCCATAAACTCCACCATCCACTGACCACCTACCAGTGAGAACAGACGCGCCTGCCAACCTGGGAGATGCAGTGCGGGAGACAAGCCCCGAGGCAGAGGGAGACAGCTCGAACAATGAGCTCGGTGACTAGCCTTAAGTTCTGCATCTTTCAGGAAAGAGACATGGTAACTCTGAAAGGGCATCAAGGTGACATTCTGTGATATTCTTTCCCTTTAGATGGGGGCTGAGCAGTGGTGTGCTGGTAAACCAGCTCTCTGAATAAAGCAGCCCTGATCGCTAGCTCCTGCCAATCCCCATGCTGTAAATACTCCCATGAGGCTGACGTCAAGTTACCACAGGTTGAACAACAGCTTACAAAGTTCCTATTTAATAATCGGCTCTGGAGAGTCAATAAAACTGGCTCCAGTGTGCCAGGGGATGTATGCTGCAGATAACCCCATCTTTCGCAAGCTCTCGGCAAGATGGAATCTGGGATGATTTAGGTCCTCGTCTCTATCAGACAGGTTGGCTGAGTGCTGACTTCACGGACAAGAGGCCAGTAGTCTCATCAGCGGAGGAGAGACAAGAATTAAATGTGGCTTTAAGAATCCTGCTCTCTTGGACAAAGTACAACCATGTGAGCCTAACACTAAACTTAGTAACCTCAGTAGGCCTGCCCAGACTTAGAAAGTTCTAGATGCACCTCTTGGATTGCAGTGTTCTCAGGAAACTAAAGCCCTCACTTTCCTCCCCCTCAAAGAGAACTAAGAGAGGTCCCTCTCCTCGAAGCAGTCTTGAAATGTCCAGGAGTAAACAAAAAGCCCTCTTCAAAGTGTTTATTAAGAAATGGAAACAAACCAAAAAGTGCTTTAAAAATTGTATTTGTACAACGAGATAAATATAGTTTTTCTTTTAGACACTGGTTGCAAGTTTCTGTGTAACAGATCTGATGTCAACATTTCAAGATGAATTGACTATCATGTAAACGTTGCCCTGCTTATAAAAGGAATAAAGATAAAGGTAAAAAATCTGTTGGGGGAGGGAAAAAAAAATCCCTGGCCACGTGCAAACTGCCACTACACTGCCAACTTTTTATCCAAGGAAACCATTCTTATCAAAGCTTGCAAAAGGGTTTGAGAGCGAGCTTTTGCACGGACTAAGGTGGAACGGGGCAAGCCGCAAGCCGTGCGAGGGGACGGGTGGCAGGTGGGAAGAGCAAGAGCAGGGCGATGGGGCTGGAACGCACACACCGAGACTGCCGGACGGCCAAGCGGGAAGTTCACACGGTTCGGGAAGGATGAATGGACAGTAAAGCTGACGATGGGCCCTGAGCAGACATGGAATTCGCTTGTTTACAACTCCATGGGAAAAGGAACGTGTGAACAGCAGAGGGAGGCAGTGATGGCCAGAGACAGGAGACAGATGAGAACACCAACAGCGTCTTGTAAGCGATTGGGGGAAGGAGGCATACGCTTCCCCATAAATTCCTGGGACGGAGGACTTGGCTACTGAGAAAAGAAACATGTCAAGAAATGAGCACAAAGAGCTGAGTCTCACATTAAGAGAGACAGAGAGACTGAATTATTACAGGGAGGGGAAGGAATTCACGCAGCAAACAGAGCCAGGGGCAGAGGGAGGGCTCGGAGGAGGAGCCCTGGAAGAGAGCTGGCAGTGCGGGGCGTGCTGTGAAAGGCTTTGGGAGCAGAGCAGGACAAGCCCACCGAGACCCAAGTGTCCTGTTGGCTCCCACGATGGCACAGACACGCTCTCGTCAGGCAGGAGAAATTGGAAATGGCACATGCCAGGGCTCAGGGCTGCGACAGCGGACTCCGGCGGGAACAGAGGACAAAGTAACAGCTGCAGGATGTCAGCAGCCTGAGGGCCTGCAGAAACCTGAAAGGCCCACAGCCTCTCGGGCCTCCACCAGGGCGCCCAGGGTCTTGAGGTTTGAAGCAAAAGTGCAGAAGTTTCGAACGTAACCAAAATTTCAGGAGGCCAATTCATAGGTGACACAGCAACACCCGGTGGGGCGGGGGCTGGCGTCCTTCTTGATCTTTATCTGTGCAGTTGATTTTCAAGGTGCTCCTTGTGAAAACACACACACACACACACACACACACACACACACACACACTCCTCTGGCCTCCCAATTAGTAGAATGTGGGGTTTCACAACGTGTGAGAGTTGATCCAATTTGGCTTAAGTTTGGGAAGCCCTCCAAATTTGGGTGGTTGGCCCAGGGAGATGGAGGTCTTTCAAAACTGATTTTACAAAGGATTCCGGCCTCTCCTTGGCTTTGTCCCAGATGCCAGGATGGAGTGTAGCCCCGCACACTGGGCTGCAGGGCCGGTGGGGACTCGCAAAGCGGCAGCGAAAACAAGAAACACCCTGCACTTGGATAGACTCAAGATTGGCAAGCGCTGGATCCAGTGGGCGGGGCCTTCTCTGATCGCAACGTGGGGCCTAATCCCGGGACTGGAATACGTTTATTCGACCTTTACCATGGCTCCAAAGCCGCCCCTCTCTGTCAGGGAGACGCCCTCGCTCAGGTCTGCTAGGTTGGTCAGGCTGGCGCCGTGGGCCCCGTCCAGCACCTCGTCGTACTGCTCCAGACTCCTGTGGGCTTCCTGGTGGCTTTCATGCAGCTGGGAAAGCTTGCTTCTTGCCTGTACAACAGAGACATCGCCGGCATCAAGTCGGGTAGGGAAAAAGTATTAGGCAAGGCATTTTTTTCTCCTAACATCCAACCCTAGATGATTCACACTGGTAACTGAATTACCCGTCTACGGAGTAGACAATCCCTGTTGCCATGTTTATGAGAAGCCAGACTGCTCGTAAACCAAGACGAAAACCTTCTGACTGCCCCAGGCAGCCTTTTTGTATCCCCAGGCCCCAAGGGAGGCAAGTGTTCAAAGAGACATTTGTTGATTCGGACCGAACTGAAATTGGACAAAACCCAGATTCACAATCTATTCCAAGTGATACTCGGCAGTTATTTTCCTTTATGGGATTTTTATTATCCCATCTGCTCCTCCTTGTTCCTGGAGACGGCATGTGAGGCCAGGGGAAGGCAGGCAATCTGTGAAGTCACACAGACCCCAGTTTTATCTCAGCTGTCTCAGACACACTGCGTGACCTCAAGCTGGTGACCTAACCTGCTTCCTCTTCTCCAAAACAGAGCATTAGAAATGATGGGTAAGATACCTCTCGCAGCATCTGGCAGGGTGGGTCCTAATAAGCAGCAGATATCACTTTTAATATCATTATTACTATCGCTAATGTGAACTCATGTCTTGGATCCTATCTGTATTTTATAAACACTAAAGGCTGGGAAGGAAAAGATTAAAGATAATCCTACAGATATTGATTAACAATAAAGGACACTTCACGGTATTAAATCCCTGAGTGGTACATGTTTGTGACCAACTTTTGCCTGTAAACTGGCAAAAGGAAAAAAGAGATCAATTCGGTCAAGAAAGGAAGCAGAAAGATGCATTTTCATGTTGCCAAGATCAAAATCACCCCCACCGTGTAGCCAGGACATCCAAGGGCCAGCAAGGAGGCCTTTGGCTGTTTCATACAGGGGAGCAGGGAAAGAGCCCTCCCCCTGCTGGCAGGCAGTGGCGGCAGGCCTTAAGGACTTCACACGGGACGGGGATGCGTGTCTGGACAAGGGCCCATGTGGGGCCATGTTCCTTAGAAGATGGGGCCATCTCGGCATGCTGGCCTTCGAATGGCATGAGGACACAGAGGTGCTGGAACACGTCTGGGACTGTGTCCTTCTTCGCTTGTGTGAGGACCAGGCTGGCAAGAACATTTTCCAAACCCAGAGCTCTGTCCAAATGAGTTAACTTAATGTCCTCATCCAGCCCCTGCCCACTCCCCAAAATGATGTGTACTCGGGGAGAAGTGGGAGGACAGTGAGGCAAAGCCAACACCTCCAGGCCAAAGTCAACATGATGCTGGAACACATGCTGGGGGTTCCAGCACTTAACTCCCAGGCTTTCGAGACAAGAATCTAAAGTAAATGAGGTGAGCAAGAGCAGAGGAAACAACCACTGGGACCGCCGGTCGCACAGACCTCCGTGACAGCTCTGCTCACGGCAGCCACGCCACAAGGCAGGAGACCCCAGAAGACCCGGCCCCACCGCCTCGGGGATACCTGGTTGATCTCATCTTGCGTGGATTTCAGGGACTTGATGATGGTTTCCAGTTGAACTTTCCCGGCCTGAATGCTCTGCTCCAGCTGCGTCTCCTCCTGCTGCAGTCGGCTCAGCTCAGATTTGGCCCGGTTCAGGTCGTCCTCCTGGGACTTGAGGTCGGACTCCTGAGACTGGATCTGCGTCTTCAGCGAAGAAATCTGAAACGAGATGAAACGTGACTTTAAGGAAGAATTCTGGTTCTTAAAATAAGTTGACCCAGGGAGGCAGACACCAGCCTGAGAGCCAGGTGCCTGGCTTCCTTATAGCGTCCCTTCTACACACCTGGGCCAAGCACAACAATCTGTCCCCCAGGGCCAAACGTCCCCACAACAGGCCTCAGAGGGAGATGGAAGGGTTTTACAATCTCCTGAGGCTGCAGCCTCCCTGGTTTGTAACAAGCAGCAAAGACACCAGGGGAGGGGAGAGAGGCATGCTGTGGGGCACGGGCCAGGGTGGGGTGTCCACACACGGGTTCACACTTACATGTATGACATGGTGGATGAGACTGCAGTCAGGCCACTAATGCTTAGACACCTTCTCAAATGATATGTTCAACTACTCTATTAAACCGGTCAGATGTCAGCCCTGATCCAAAGTCACAGTGAGCCCAGGGAAGTCTGTAAGACGCCGCCTCACTCTGCTGGGCACGTGGCGAAGGCGACACTCACCATCTGGGTCTCGTCCTGGCACTTCTGCCTGACGTCACTCAGCATGTCTCGGAGCTTGGCCTTCTGCTGGTCCATTTCGTCCAGGCGGTCTTGGGCGTCCTGTTTCTGAGCTTCCAGCTCTTGCAAACTGCTTGTTTCCCGGTCTAAATCATTTTGTAATTCCTAGGGAAGGGTTGCATGAATTTACCTGAGCCTCATGAAAACAGGGTAGGTATATCCAAGCTAAGACAAAGCCTGGGCTGAAGCCTTTGAGAGGTCCTACAAAACAGCCCCCTCCCCAGGCCTGGCATCCCACAAGCACCGCAGTGAACACCGCACACACCTCAGCCTGGCAGCCCCAGCTGAATCTTTCACTAAATCCCTTAGCAAACATTTACTGATGGCCTTCTAGAAGCCAGGCACCAGGAGAGGAGCTGGGTTCCTGGCAAGAAGAGTTCTCCAGTGACGTGTGGTCAAGGGTGAGGAGTGGAGAGGCATCACCCAAGCACAAATGAACCGAGATGAACAGACAGCATAGGTGCTGTCTGTCAGAATCACAGGGTGTGGGGAGAAGAGCCCCACAGAACACCACTTCGATGGACCCTAAGGACGATCAGGAGGTAGCCAGGTAAAGAGCCAGGAATGCGAAGAGTGGATGGGGCCGCAGAGGACCCTGAAGAGAAGGGGGTGTCGTGCTCCAAATGGATCAAAGGGAAGTGGGGTGTGAGCACCACAGGCCATGCCCCGCAGCCCACGCCGATGAGACGGCACTGGCTTCTGCCACGGGAAGCCCCTGAGGACGTCCAAACGTGGGACTGGGGCACAATGGTTCCCAACTGCTAGAGCGCCTCCAAGCGGGCCACATCTATCAGTGCAGAGATCCTGGACTCGATCACTAGACTTCCAGGGAAGGGATCCGCGAGGCGAATGGCGTTTGTGAAAACATGCCATGGCTGTGACAGCAGAATCTATCAACAGTGCAAATTTCCCCAGGCGCAGGCGGCTGAGAGACATGGCACCTGGCGCCTGAGTTACAGGGTGTGATGCACCGCATCCCGGCACTCGTGCAAACAGGAAGGGGAGAAGATGCATAGATGCCTCGCCTCAGACACACATGCTCTCTCCAGACGGCCTCCCGGGAGGGATTGCCTGGACCTCTGGGGGCACAGGGGAGGGCAGGAGGCTTCTCCATCTCTGATTTTCAGCCAGGCAAATGTCTTATCTACCTGTGACGTGAATAAATAAAAGCAGAGACAGGATGGGAGAGGAGAGTGTGGCCCGTGGGGCTGACAGACGGAGTCGGGATGGTGGGGAGGTGGCTCAGGCTGGGGCTAAGGGGGAGGTGATAGCAGCCTGGGGAGATGGTGGCCGTGGGAATCCAAGAATGGGAGGACTTGCGGGGACTGCTGAGGGGTCAGGGAGGACAGGAGTGGTGAGGCCGATCCCCAGGGCTGGCCTGCACTCACGTGGTGGATGTCATTTCAGAAGAAAACCCGAAGGAGGTGCAGGGTCTCCGTCTCCCTGCTTTCATAACAGAAGTGTCATGGCTCTCGCCTCACTCAACAGCCAAAACACACCTCTCAGTTATTTTGGGGGGCTGGTTCTCTGCTCCCCGGTCCCCTTGCCCTCAACCTTTAATTTGAGGCATGGATCTCAAGTCTGACAAGTTTGGGGAAGATGACACTGAATGTTTGAAAAGGGGCTCATGGCAGAGAAGAGATGTGGGTTTGCCACATCTGAGGGAAGGACGAGTGATGCGAGAGGGAGGAGGGAGGAGGGTCAGGCCCAGCGTGGTAGCTGGGACACCAGGCAGCCAACACCCTGGGACATCAAGGAACCTGGGCCTCCTTCCGTACTGGAGAAGGAGCCGCGCAAGAGCCTCACAAGAGGAGGGCCTGCCAGCTGCTAGTTAGGAAGGGTGCTGCGGTCAGGGTGGGGGAGATATGTGAGCAAAGGGAAGACAGAAAAAAGCCAGGCAATCTACAACTCAGTGCAAGCCCCACAGGAATGCCAGCTGGCTCCTGACAAGCAGATTCCAAAATTCATAAGGAAATACAAGGGGTCCAGATGAGCCAAGACAATCTTAAAAAACAGGAAGTTGGAGGACTCATACTTTTTGATTCCAAAACTTAGTACAAAGCAACAGTAATCAGGACAGTGTAATGCTGGCCTAAGGAGAGACACAAGACCAATGGGATAAAACTGAGAGTCCAGAAATCAACCCACACACCTATGACCAACTGATTTTTGAAAAAGGTACCAAGACCTTTGGTGGGAGAGATACCAGTCTCTTCAACACATGGTTCTGGGACAACCGGCTCTCCACGTGCAAAACAATGAAGCTGGACCCTACCTCACACCATATATAAAAGTTAACTCAAAATGGATCATAGATCTAAATGTAACAGCTAAAACTATAAAACTCTAAGCAGAAAACATGGGGTAAATCTTTGTGACTTTGGATTTGGCAATGGGTTTTTGGATACAACACCAAAAGCAAGAGCAAAAAACGGAACAGATAAACTGGACTTCACCAAAATTTAAAACTTTTCTGTTTCAAAGGACAACCATTAAGAAAGCGAAAAGACAATCCACAGATGGGACATAATATTTGCCAATCATATATCTGACAAGGGAATTTATCTAGAAAATATAAAGAACTCTTACAACTCATCCATAAAAAGACAACCCAATTAAATAAGGGGCAAAGGATCTGATCTGACTTTTCTCTGTGCAAGATCCACAAATGGACAATAAGCACATGAAAAGATGCTCAGCATCATTAGGGAAAGCATTAGGGGCAATGAGATACCTACCACTCCACATCTATCAGGGAGGCGATAATAAAAAAATGGGAAATACCAAGTGTTGGTGAGGATGTGGAGAAACTAGAACCTTATGGCAAGAATGTAAAATGGTGCTGCCACTTTGGAAAACAGTCTGGCAATTCCTCAAAAGGCTAAACAGAGAGTTACCATGTGACCCAGCAATTTCACTCTTAGATTATACACCCAAGAAAAGTGAAATCATGTGTCCACACAAAAACTTCCATATTAATATTCTCAGTGGCATTACTTGCAACAGCTAAAAAGCAGAAAATCCCAAATGTCCATCAACTGATGAACAGATGAATAAAACGTGGTCCAGCCATAGAGTGAAGTATTATTCAGGATAAAAAGGAACAAAGCACTGACACATGAAACATGAATGAACCCTGAAAACCAAGTTGAATGAAAGAGGCCAGACACAAAAGGCCACATAGTGTATGATCCTATTTATACGAAACACCCAGAAGAGGCGAATTCAGAGACAGAAAGTAGCTCAGTGGTCGCCAGGGGCTGGGGAAGACTGGAGGGTGCTAATAGGTATGGGGTTTCCTTTTGGAGCAGTGAGAATGTTCTGTAATTGACTGCGGTGATGGCTGTACAGCTCTGTGCATGTACTAAAAACCACTGAATTACACACTTTAAATGAGCGAATTGCATGCTTGTGAATTACATCTCAGTAAAGCTGTTGTTACAAAAACAAAACCAAACAACCAGGCTCTTACTCTACCATAGCGACAGACATGGAGAGACCCCCAGGGCAGGATGGGAAAGGGGAGGCCTGTAGGGGCTAAAGCTGAAGCTCCTGCGGCTTAAAACCAACTGTAAACTGACCTGAGGACCGAGGCCTCCTCCTGGACACTGGACACTGACCTGCAGCCTGTGCTAGTTGGTGTGGCACAAGATCTGTGAACAAACCCACCTGGGAAAAGGCAGCAGAGCCAAAGTCACACCTGGCTTTCACAGGAGAACTTTAAAAATAGATATATAAAGCTCAGGACCGAGGAGCTGCCATCACACCACAGCAGAGCCGCGTCCTGGCCCGAGCACAAGCGAGGCTCCCATGGAACAGGGCCGGCCTGGCTAGCGGTGAGCTCCCTCCAGCTCTGGGGGGCTATTGGGGCACTCAGGGACCACAGCATCTCGTAGGCTGCAGGCGTGTGCTGTCAGAGCCCACCAGCCAGGGCCCTGGTGGCCTTGCTGAGCCTGCCACAGACCAGAGAGGACAGTACCTCCAGACATCAGAACAAGTCTCTGCAAAGACCCAACAACTTTCTCAGAATCGCCCGAGACCCGGGGACTGGCTTCCCTGGTAGCTGAAGGACACACAACACCCGATCCTCGGATGCGGGAATGCAACCTGGAGCCCGTTCAGAGTGACCCACACAGTGGGAAGGAGAACCACCCACATCCACGTGGCTGCCCAGGCCACGGCCAAGGAGAGAGGAAAGATGAGGCCAGCTCTGCCACATGAGAGAGCTGAAAGGATGGAGGGTGAGGCGATATGGGTGATGGGGAACTGTGTCTGAGGGATCAGTTCCAGGACACGCGTGGGAATCAGAAGGCTGAGGTGAGAATAAATGACAGGATAAACGTACAGGCACCCAGAAAGACAGTCACGTCACCTGTGGTCTTATAAATGAAGCAGCTCATTTGAGCAACAACAACAACAAAAAAAACACACATATACAAAAACACTTAATGGTAGAAGCAGGCTGGTCCCTGCCTTCTGATCCAGAACATTCCAGGGGACCATCTAAGGCCCAATCCTCGATGCCAATGTGTACAGAGTGAGAAGCCAGGAAACAAGGGTCTGGACACTGCACAGTGTGAACCAATGAGAGTCCCAAAGCATCCACCCTACCTGCCTTGTGAGCAGGCTGAGGGGAGGAGGGAAGGGCCACCCAGCACCCCATGAGCCCGACTGACTCTGGCGTTGCTCCCCCTGGCCTGGCTCAGGTCCACACCCTACGAGGTGGCCCGGAAAGAATCAGCCGCTCCCCTGGCGCACACCGCAGCGAAACACTGCACTTGGATCTGTGCCAAGAGCAGCTCATGCACTGATCCTCACTGCCAGGTGCACAGACAGAATTCGGGAGGCCAAGCCACCCACCCATCATCTCCCAGGTGGGACGCAGTGGGGCTGGAGTGCCGACCGCTCAGCCTTGTCCTCTCTCCCCCAGCGCTGAGCTCAGAACACTCCAAGCCCCTGAGCAGTCCAAGTGGCACAGCTCAGCTGCACTCTCAGGGCCTCACAGCCAACTGGAGTCTCTGCAAGCGGCAGAGCCTCTCCATCCATTCAGACCTGGGACATCTCGGGAACCAATGTCTCTTCAAGGGTGGAGCCCCAGGCGCTGACCTGTGCTCCTGGCACAGAGTCCTCTCTGTCCAGACAACGGGGTGAGCGCTGAGCACCTGCCAGACCCAGTGCTCCAGCCCCACAACTCAGGAAAGCAGAACGCTCATTACCACCATCATAGGAGGCCTAGAGGTGCTAAGTAACTTGCCGCAGGCCACACAGCTGCTAAGGAGAGCCAGGTCTGAGCCTTGGTAGTCAGACCCCCCAACCCCAGCACATACACAGAGTGCCTGCCCTCACCACCACCCACAAGGAGATTCTCCAAGCAGGACTGTCCTGAGAACAGGTCACTGTCTGAATCTCAAAAATTCAGACAGAGTGAAAGAAACCAGACACAGAAAGCTGAATGTTGTGTGATTCCCTTTATGTGAAATGTCCAGAATAAGCAAATCCATAGAAACAGCAGACTGGGGTTGTCAGGGTCTAGGGGAAGGGGGGTAGTGGCTGCTAATGGGGTTTCCTTTTGGGGTGATGGGAATGTTCTAGAACTGGACAGAGGTGATGGTTAAGCAACAATGAATATGCTAAAAACCACTGAGTTGTACACTTCAGAACAGAGAATTTTACACTATGAGAATTCTGTATCTCAATTAAAAACAAAATAACTGTCTATGGCTATAGGAAACTCAAAACTAAAAACCACTTGGAAGCCCCCAAAAGCTCAAGTTTCTAATGAGCGCACAGCTGCCTCCCTTTGCTCTGCTCTGCCACCACCGCCGGGAACTCCCTGCCCTGCATTTGACACAAGGTCCGTTCGAACAAAACAAGCAACATGCTCACCTGTACTTCATTGGTTTTCTGTCTGATTGCCTCTTCTTTTTCTCTAATGTCTTGTTCCAGTGAGTATTTCTCCCTGAAATATTTTAAAATATTTCATGAAGCATGGATAGAGTAAATTGACCGCCCTGTGGTATCCCAGCTTCTCCAGACCCAATCCTATCCATCCCACAAAGACCCAACCCAGCTGGCCCCTCTTAGTGGGGGAGAAGTCTACCACCTCTAGGGACCTTCTGCTTAACGTAACCTTCGAGTGTGGGTGGAACCTGGGATGCGACAAGGCTTCGCTCCCATCCTGGCCACGAGAGCCTTTTAAAGCAGAGAGTGTCAAAGCGATGCCCTAAGTGAGGAGGGCTGGATGGGCCCCCACTGACTTGAAGATGGAGGGGTCATGGGGCAGCCTCTCAGAGCAGAACAAGCCCCAGGCCACACCCAGTGCAGAAAGGAGACCCAAGAATGCCAGCTTTGAGGAACTGGATTCAGATCCCCACCCACTCGGCCAACACCTTGAAATGTGCCTTGTGAACCCTGAGCAGGGAGCCCAGTTGAGCCCACCTGAACTCCTGGTCTACAGAGCTGTGTACTGATAAACCTGCACTGTTTCCAGCCATCCACACACAGCAAGAGAAAACAAATACACTCTCTAAATCCTACGTTCACTCGCTCATGAATGGTGAGCATCTACTGCTCAGAAGCACCAGTGCTGAGCACATGAGGACACACGGAGAGAGCCTTCATGGGGCTCACAGACCATGAGGGAGACAAATCAACACACAAGTGCATACAACTAAGTACCACGACGGGAAATCCAGTGGGACAAGGAAAGGGGGTGGGGAGTGTCCTGCACAGGATGGCCAGGGAAGGACTTTGAGGACATGGCCTGTGAATAGAAATCATGGCGGAAGAACATTCTAGTCAATGGGAACAGGAAGGCAAAGCTCGGCCGGGGGAGCCATGCTGAGAAGTTTGGAGTGATGCAAAGTAGGGTGGGGGGTTCAGAGGGCCGACAGCAAGAAGCAGCAGCGCGGGTCTCCCTGACCCACCCAGTGCCCCTGGCTACTCCCTCACAGGAGGCTGGGGCTGGCCCTGCCTGTCTCCTCAGGTGCAAACGGCCCCTACCCCAAGCAGCAAACAGCCTTGCTTTCCTCCTTAGAGACTGAAGGTTTGTGTCCACCTCCTGCCCCCCAATTCGTATGTTGAAACCCTAACCCCCAGTGTGATGGTATTAGGAGGTAGGGCCTTTGGGAGGGGATTCGGTCAGGAGGTGGCGCCCCCATGCATGGGATGAGTGCCCACATGAGAAGCCCCAGAGAGCTCCTCGCCCCTTTCTCCATGTGAGGACCCAGTGAGAAGACGCCGTCGATGAACCAGGAAACGAGCCCCACCAGACCCTGGATCTGCCTGCACCTCCATTTGCACTTCCAGCCTCCAGGATGGGGAGAAGCACGTGTCTGCTGTTTAAGCCGCCCAGCCTGTGAGAGTCTGTCACAGCAGCCTGAAAGCACTGAGACATTTCTCTCATGCCTGAAGGGGCTGCCTCAGTGGCAAGAACTTCATGTGGACAACAAACCCTGCCTCCCCTACCAGGAGCCCAGCACTTGTTCAACAGTAAGCCCCCTCCGGACACCGGGCCAGACATGAAACAATTGTTGAGCATCTGCATGTTCACTTCCATGAGCCTAAGAACCACCTAACGATACAGCATCCTCTTTAGACCCAACCCACTGTGACTGGCTCACGTCTCAAGGGGAGAGGCATGTCCGCCGAGCCTCTAGTCAACAGTCCTGAAGGTCACTCTCAGAGCCACCCAGGCCTTGGCTTCCTGCTCACTCTTGCTCTGCACACATGTGCCTCTCATCTTCATAGGGAAACCCTCCAGGCTGCCAGAGGCTGCAGAGCTGTGAAGAGGCAGCCCTGGCCAGACTCGGATGCCACTGTTCCTTCTGAGACCCTGAACCTCATATTACAGGGCACCCTCCACCTAATTAATGGGCCCACTAGGCTCTAAGACACTGGCCCTCTGTCCTCACAGACCCTCTCAGCCTTACCAGGCTGCATGTGCTGACCTCTTGTGGGAAATATGGCCCCAGGCATCTAGTGATGGAACACTGGCATGACACAGGGAATCTGGCTTCAGCTGGCAGCCAAGGCTGAGGCTTTGTGGCCGGCCACCCACCTCACCAGTCCCCATCCCAAGCCCCTGCTTACAGGTGGGGAAACCAAGGCTGTGGGCGCAGGGAGTGGAGACAGAGACCTGGACACAAGGCCTCTCTCACAGAGTTGAGCTGCTGGCCCCAGGCTCATCATCTGAGACTCAGTCACTTTCCGCGCTCAGAGATAACAAGGCCTTCCCGAGGTCGGGGTGGGGTGCCCTGTGGCTACCTAGCAACAACGTGCCTGAGACCCCACAGCCCACACTGGCTCCCACTGAGGATGTCACGACTCGAGCTCATTACATCAGTTCAGGAACTCAGGAGAATTTGCATCCCCTTTGTTTCTACTGAACAAACTCGTGATGGTCAACTCACCACGTGGTTCACAAGCCTCTGCTACTTCCGATGACAACCTGGGTTAGGGGTTCCGAACCTGAGGGGAAGAAGACCTTTAACGTACCTTTGTAACTGGGCAATCTCTTGACTGATATCGTCCAGTTCCTTCACACCAGTAAACTCCCCTGATCCAAGAGAACTCGAACTGTCCTAGAACCAAATTCAGACACAGAATTACAAATTGTAGGCTGACCTCACCCCACAGCATAGGCTAGCAGGTGTCAGAATGGGGGATAAAGTCCTCCAGCTCCAGCCCCCAGCCTAGGAACTACCTGGGCAGCCCAAACACACCCACAAGCCCCTGGGGAAGGCAGGGCAGACTGCCAGCGCCCGCCTGCTCACATGGGCGGCCAGCGCCACCTGGTGGCGGGAAGCGACGCGAACACGGCACGGGTGGGCCAGCGGCTACTCACCGGGATGGGTGTGCCTCTCTCTGATGGCGGGACCATGTCCGGTGAGAGGACTTGAGGAGGGTCGATGCCTTTACTGACCTTCTGCTGAATGAAATACATAGCTAACGCGAATTGGTCTTTGCTTAACTTCCCCGTTTGCCTCGTATCGGCCAGGGCCCTGGGAGAAACGTGGGGATGCTAATTACACATCACAAACACCAGAATCAGTTCCAAGTCCATGGAACCCACACTTAAAAAAAAAATAGATGATGACAATGATAAAAACAACAGGCCACAGCTGCAGCCACTTGTCTACTGAACATACCCTCCCGGGACGCAGTCCCCACCTCCTACCCAGAGCTTCAGGGCAGGAGGGGGCTCCTCTCTTTGCTGGAGAACCATCAAGCCCCATCCACGGGTGTTGGAGCGGTGCCTTGGGAAGCCCTGTGAGCAGCTAGGAAGGGTGCAGCTGGCTCTTGACGACGTACAGGCGGTAGACTGCGATCACAGGCTCCCCTCTGTATAAATGAAAGCCGGAGCCGCATGCACACACTCAGACCTCTAGCTGGTTCCTCAGCCTTGGGAAATCTGAATGGCTTGGGCCAGTGGTTTTCAATGGGGATGACAGCAGCACTGGGGTTGTCGTTATGAGGGGACACGGCCCAGAAAGCCAGGCACGGTGCTATATGCACAGGGAACAGTCCCTTGCTGCTAAGATGCCCCTGTCCTCGTGGCCTTCTGGTGTCCTGACTGATGGTCAAGGTGGCATGTAAGCTCTGGGACACACAGTCACCGAGAGCCAGCTGCTATGGAACAGGAAGCCTCATGCAGCAAGGACAAGGCCTTCACGTCTGTGAAAAGTGTCATCCCTCACTCCCTCTGTCCACTCAATACGCAGTCTCTCTCCCACTGCAGGGGGAATTATTGCAAGAACAAAGAAACCATGTCCTAACGCAGAGCAAAGATGGGCCAGGAATGTTTAATAGACGTGGGGCCCAAACACCGTGCACAAACAAGGCTGGAAAAGAGCCCACGAAATGTCCCGATTAGAGGCCGGTTAAAAACGTCACTGTTCTTGCCACAGTTCAAGGGCAGAGCGTGACAGTCTTCCAGGGCAACTGATTCTCCTTGGTCTGCCAGCGAGCGCCGGTCGCGCCACACACCCAGCCCACAGCCGCTCTGGGGCCAGGCCCTGCTCCTCCACGTGCATTCATGACTTCACTGTGTCATTTACGTGTTGTCATGCCTCTTGCAGGCTGAGATACATGTCATAAATTACTTTCCTTTAAGTTACAATTGGGGCATAATTTGAATTCTGTGCACATCCATTTCAGGGTGATAAAGGCGGCACTGCGTTTTACTGGCTTCTGAAAGCAGGCACCGGGTCTGAAGGCACCTCCCCCAGCTCTTCTGGGGACTGACTAGAAGGGACAGGCCCGTTTTCTCAGCAGGAGCTTCACCTCGGACGTGGCCACCTCTGAGTTACTGTTAGGGAGTTTTATTTCCCCGAGTCACTCAGTAATGTGCTAAATTTCACAGCTCTGTTTGGAGGGGTTCACCCCTCCAGAGTCACACGGAAATTCTCTTCTTACAATTCCCAAGTGAAGCCCTCCAAGACCCAGGCTCTGAGGAAAAAGCTAGAAGGTGACGTTCATGACTGGCCAGTTACCCCAGGAGCCATCCCAGGGCCTGGAGGAGACTGGGAGTGGAGCTGGCTCCTAGACTGGCCCTGAAGTGCAGGCCCCTCCAGCCGCATCACTGACCTTCTTGGGCAGGGCCTCCACAGGGGGCCCACAGCCCTGACTGCCCAGCGTGGCGCTGCCAGAGCCTCTGGGGCCCTGGCTGCACCCTCCCCCTGGAGGGGGAAGGCCAAGCACCCGCACCCCCACCGGCTGTAGTAGAGGCCGCATAACCACTGGCAAGAACTGGTCTCAGTCATTCAAACAGATAGACCCAGAGCTCTCTAGAGGGACCACCTTCCTGCTGGAGGGGACTGAACAGACATGCACGGAATAAAGGGTACAAGCCTTTCCACTTGGCCCTCATTGCCGCCTCTCCCGTCCCACTCGCCACTTCCAGCCCTGAAGGGTGAGCCACCCACAGCCATCACCCCCCACAGCGAGGCCTCAAACACTGAGAGGCAGAGGTCCTTACCATATGTGTGCTAGAAGGTTCTGGGTGAGACCCGAGTGCATGAAGATCTCCTTCACCTCCTGGCCGCTCACATAGCCGTCCAGGTCCAGGTCGGTCTTCAGGAATATCTCGTCAAATCGCATCTTGTCTGCCACTGGCACCACCCAGTTTACTGTTGGCTGAAAGGGTTTTTCAGAACAGTTAACCCTCAAGCTTTTCATCACCCACAAATACTCACTAGGAAAGCATTTTCAGGCTCCTTTTAGCAGAAATCCCTCTATGAGCAGAGAGGGCAGACAGGATCCCGGGTCTGTAAGTGGGGAAACTGAGGCTCAGAGATATTAATGCTGCTTCAGTCAGTCTCAGCCAGTGGCCTGGGTCTCTTTCCACCCCAGCACAGTGCCCTGAAATCCACCAACAGCCCTTCCACCCCTGCTGCCTGGGACATGAAGGAAAACGGGTCTCGTCAGGGGGTCGAGAGGCACGCCCCTGGGATCTGGGAAGAGCCACCAGACCATCAGGGGGTGGGGGCATGAGGGGGCCAGCCTGCACCCACCAGCAACTCCAGCCCCACTTGGCCCCTCATCAGTAAAACACACCACCACAAGCCTATCCTACGGCACTTGAGAGCTCAGCAAGAATTCTGAGACGCAAGGTGTCGGGTCCTGCAAAGCAGTAGCTCGTGCAGGTCTAAGTGACTGGCCTCGGCCCCGCTCCTCTGGCTCCATCTCCCCATCCCTCCACTCGCCCTGCCCCAGCCTTCTTCCTATTTTAAGGACACATTAAGCACTCCCACTTCAGAGTCTCACCATGCACAAGTTCTCAGATGGCTTCTCATCATTCAGGTGACATCAGCTTAGCTGTCCCCTCATCAGTGGCCTTCCGGCTGGCCCATCTGCAGGAGCATGCCCCCTCCTCACCCTGACACTCCAGGCCAGACCCTGTCCTGCTTTCTCATGGCTGGTGGGCCTTCCCTAGTCTACTGATTCGTTCAGCGTCTGTCTTCCCGCTAAGGGCAGGGATCTGCGACGCAGTGGGCATGGCTGCTGAGCTGGTAAAGACACTCAGGCGGGGCCACCTGGGGCTGGCCCTCTTCACAGAGAGCCATGTTCAACTCCCTGACCATCAGCCAGGCCTCTCCGATTGGCCTGTGACCGAGCCTCGACCCTCTCTGATCTCCTCTTGTTTTTGATTCTAGGGTATGATGAGCTCCTTGAAAATGAGCCTCCCAGGTCGAGTGTTTAACTTTAAAAGTATGTCATGAGCAAGAGAGACCACTGTCCTATTATGCGCTTCTCATTTTCATTTTTATCATATTCCAAAGCTGCATGGTGGTGCTGGCTGGCCTTCTTATCACAACTCATTGCTATGCCTTTGAAACCACAAACGAGGCAGAAAGTGAAGCACAATTCCAGATGGAACTCACATTCACGTTCTTGCGTGTTTCAGACAGTCTCCAAGGTGCCCTTTTATAAAGAGCCATTGCCAGAACAAGAAATGTCTTTTTTGATGTATAAGATACAGCCACACGGGGGCAGGCATAGCTCCGTGGTAGAGCGCGTGCTTAGCATGCACGAGGTCCTGGGTTCAATCCCCGGTACCTCCATTAAAAAATATAACAAGAATAAATAAACGAATAAACAAAAATAATTACCTCCCCCTAAAACAAACAAAAAACACTTAAAAAAAAAGATACTGCTGCGTGGAGAGTTGGAGCCGCTTCCTGCCTTCCTAACACCAGATAGATGCCTCCCTTACTTACCTGATTACTTGATATATTTACTGAGCATCAAAGTACCAGAGATTCTTCTAGATCCTGAGATTATAACCCAGAACTAACTCTGCTCTCCTGAAGCTACCGTCTGGATGGGGAGACAGGAGATACACAATTAATCATGTGAAGGCCAGGGGTGGGAGAGCTAGAAGAGTGTGGGTAGAGGGCGGCGGCCCAGGGTGCGTGGGCTGTCGGTGTGGTCACCCCAGCCTCCCCGTGAGCAGAGGCCTCACGATGCCAGATGCCGTGGTGCCATCTGGGACTTGCCCTCCCAGCAGAGGGACTGCCAGAGGCAGGAGCGGCAAGGGGGTGATTAGAGCACCTGGAGGTGGGACTGTGCTGGGTGTGTTTGGGGAAAGGTGGTGTTAATATGCAACTGAGTGAGAAAGTTAATCTGAATCCCTGTTGCTATGGTCTAAATGTTTGTGTCCCATCTCCCCAGATTCAAACATTGGAAATCCTAATCCCCAGTGTGATGGTATCACATCGTGAGGGCGGAGCCCTCATGAATGGGAGTAGTGCCCTTATAAAATGGACCACCAAGAGCTCCCAAGATCCTTCCACCATGTAAGGACACAGCAAGAAGACAGTCATCTGTGAACCAGGAAGTGGTCCCACTGAACACCGAATCTGCTGGCACCTTGATCTTGGAATTCGAGCCCCCAGAACTGTGAGAAATAAATGCCTGCAATTTAGAAGCCACCCAGTCTGTGTATGTTCCAACAGCCAGACTGGACTAAAACATCTGATGTAAATACTGAATTTAATCACAGACTCTAACCTTTTCTGGGTCACAAACTACTTGCTCCCGAGAAGCACCTTGCCAGGGCTCTGCACAGCAGTGAGAACCGCGGCTCTGCGAAGAGGTCACGCACATGCAGAGCACTGTACCTGTGTTTGCTTGATACTATGCTTGGGAGACAAGCTTCCAGTGCTGTTCAAGCTGCTGACGCTGCCGTGAGAAGGCGTGGAGCGGAGGCTGTCCTTCGGTGGGGGGCTGGCGGGCAGGACAGGCACGGCGCCCGGGAACACCGTCTTCTTCCTCTTGGACGGCGGGATGAGGGATGGTGGCAGGACGGAGGGCACTGGCTCCTTCTCAAGGGCTCGGTACACCAAGTGCATTGCCTGTGAGCACAGAAGAGAATGATGTTCAGGGAGTGAGGCCCGGGCCCCAGGGCCAGTGGAGGGCGGCTCTTTCAGAAGCTGCAGTGATAAGACGAAGATTGCTCTTTCTGAGGTCGCTTCCAAATGGAACAAAGTGAAAATAAACCTTTCCTGATGAGCTACGCTGTCCATGTGTGATTTTCCAAGACGTGTGTTTAACCACACAAGACTGAAATGAGTATGAAAGGAATCAGATCGTGCCAGGCTCCACACATGTCCCTTCCCCACACAGCAGGGCCTCCGGCTCCAGGGCTGACGACCTGCAAAGTCCTGGAACTTGGCAGTCTAGCAACACGCCATGACAGTATGCCTTAAACTGACGCAGTGCTGGATGTTGATGATCTCCCCATAAAATTGAGGAGGGGGGCACACACCAGGAGAGCTGCCTGTACTTCAAGATCTCTGAGACACAGAAAACTACCCCAAAGGCTGTGTGTGCCGAGGACGGACAGGCAGCTCCCCTGGCCAAGGTAGGCAGGGGACAATAACAATAAACTTTGTCTAAACGAAGGATTGAAAAATCTGTTTTAAAAAATAACAAAACCAAACCAAAATAACAACCCTCTATACTTCAAACTATTCTCTAAGTTGCTATCTGTATAGAGAACAGGTCGTTAACACAGATACAGATTTACGATCACTTAAAAACTCTACTAAATGTTAAGCCCAGCTAGGGATGAAAAGACACACAAAATGACACAGCTCAGAGTCACTTATAAAAAAAGAAAACATAAATTGTGGCTGAAATGATGAGAAATGATAAAAACAAAAACAGAATCTCAGGGCACATGAGACTGTGAGGAGGAGGCACGTTCCTGGGTTCACTCCAGGCCAAAGTCTCCATTCCTGAAGACCACCCCAAAGGCAGTTCAATGATATGAACACCTGAAGTCAAGCACTGTCAAAAGAAATCTAAAAATAAACGAGGAGCTTGGGGGAGGGAGGATGGGGAGTTAGTATGAACGAGGACAGAGGTTTAGCTTTGCCGGGTCAAGAGAGTTCTGGGGATGGACAGTGGTGATGGTGGCACAACCACACAAATGTATTAACACCACTAAAATGTACACTCAGAAACGGTTATGGTGGTAAATGCCATGTCATGTGTATTCTACCACAATGAAAAAAAAAAGAAGGCCAGCCAGTGAAAAGAAGAGGATGATGGAGAAATATGGAAAATGCTCTACGTAAAAAAGGAAGAAGAGAGTTGACGTGTAGGGGAAAATGCAACTGAGTACTGTGGGGGGTAAGGGATTACGACAGGAATAGTAAGATAATTAGAAGCTTCAATTCACATGTATGTTGTAAAATCACATTTTAAAGACTTTTAAAGTTCCTAGAACAGAAGATGTGTCTCAGGGATACTGCTGTGTTTCATCATTTTTCTATTACTTGGGGATTCCCAGATGATCCACAGCCTTTTCTCTTTTTTGGTGGGGGTGGGGTAGGTGGGTGGGTTGGCTAAACTTAATTATTATTTATTAAAACATTGCCCTTAACTACTAGGGGCTACTTCTACTTTTGAGGGTCTTTTTCTGTATAGAGCGAGATCGTGAATATTTTATGCTTTGCTGACCACATACTCAGAACTACTCACTGTTTTAAAAAAAATTTTTGTTGTTGTTTGCTTGTTTTGGTGGGGGGGATTCGGGTTGGTTATTTATTTATTTAATGGAGGTACTGGGGATCGAACCCAGGACCTCATGTATGCTAAACACACACTCTACCACTGAGCTATACCCTTTCCTGTCTTTGAGATCTAACGGAACAAAGTGAGTGAATAAATCTCATGAATGGGAGAGAAAGGTCAAAGATTTGAGTAAGGAGGAGGGAAGGGAGGAAGAAAAGGAGGGACATTATGACACCAGTCTAGGCGGGGAGGCCAGACCCAGGCAACGTCAGCCCAGCAGGTGGCTGGGAGAGGTGGCTGTGGAGCTGCAAGGGTGTGGAGGGAGGGCAGCTGCATGGGAAAGTAGCCCGCAGGACACAAGATCCCAGTCTCCACACAGACCCAGCACTGCCGCTGAGAGGAGAGGAAAGTGGGAGTGTCAGGGCTCTGGCCTGGACAGAACTGGACATGAAATCAAACGTCTCTGCTGGGGCGGTTGATGGGCATGTCTTACACGAACACCTTCCTCCCAGCTCTGTCCGCCGAAAGGGCCTGGAGGCAGCGGTACCCCAAGAGCACTGAGCACCCCAGTGCCCAGATCCTGGATTCTAACATCATTCTCTCCTACAAGGTACTGGGGCTCCCCAGAGAAATGGGTGATGGTGGGGTTGGGAGATGGGGTATACAAGAAGAGCCAGGAATATTCTATCATGCCAAAAGTAAGCAAGTACTCAAAGAATGATAGGGTGTGACCAAATGACAAAGAAGCCAGCTGGGAGGAGCTTCCACTGGGCAAAATAAATCATACAAGTAGGGGATTATAAACCACTGAACAGATTATAGAGGACACACCCCTGTGTCCACTCTGATATTAACAGATTCACTATAGTAGAAGACCAGCTAAAATATGTGGAAGGAATGACAGAATTAGAAAACCACCATCTGGCAACCACCAGAATCCTGGCTGGTTCAGGTGAGACTCCTAGGAGGATGAGAGAACTAGAGGGTGAGAGCTGTCAGGGTAACAAGGTGTTCAGTCTCTACGTGTCTCCCATGAAAGACTGAGAACAAAGGAAAAGAGTAACTGCAGAGAGAACCCCGAAGTCTCCACCCCAACCTTGATCAAGGTTGGCCTCAGGGTAGTAAGATGTATAACAAGACATCACACGTTCTATCGATGTCACGTGCCCTGAGGAGAACAAGCACCACGTCGGAAGGGACCTGCCCCACAAAAGTGCATGACCTGGATCATGATGAGGAGACAGCAGACAACCCTGCACCAAGGGACACTCTATAAACCACTGGCCTGTGCTCTTAAAAATGCCCACGGGGCCATGAGACGTGAAGACAGATGCAGGAGCTGACCCAGATTATAGGACATGAAAGAGACAGGGCTACAGACATAACACACAAGGCTGGAGTCTCTTTCACTACAAAGGACATTTTGGGAACAACTGGCAAAATGTGAATATCCTTAGAATAGAAAACAGATAACGTAGTAATAGATAGCGCAGTATGTAACACATATGATAGAACCCATAATAGATACTGCAACACACTTGACAACGTCCATTTCCTAACTGTGAATTGGACAGTGCTTATGTAAGAGAATTTCCTGGTTTTACGATATAGATGCTGAAGTATTTCAGGATGAAAAGGTTCATATCTGAAACTTACTACAAAATGGTTCAAAGGAAAAATTAATGTGTGGAGGGACACTCATGGAGGGACAGAGGGAGAGGGAGGAAGGGGGAAGAGAGAAAGAGAAGGAGGCAGGGAGAAGAATAAAGCAACGTAGTGAAACAGTAACACTGGGAAATCTGAGTGAAGGGCACTCAAAAGGATTCTCTGTAGTCAAATTAAACCCAAATTATATCAACATAAACACTTAAAATTAAAGAAGAAAACAAAGTCCAGAAACCCCCACGTGGGCTGTACAGAGTGGGAAAAGAGTCACAGCAGGGGCCTACCACAGCAAACTCATCTCTGTCCAGGTGCCCGTCCTTGTCGATGTCACTGAGGTCCCAGACCTGCAAGGGAGAGAGCGGCAAGGCTTAGCCGGGCCAGTACTAAGGGTGTGTGGGGGGGGGCCTGTGTGGCAGCAGACACGCCCCTCAGAACTCAAGTTCTGACTGCATACCGGGGTTAAGATGAGGGTTAAAATGCATTCAAGAACCGGTCTGTAGGTTCTCTGAAAAACCATCATTCAATGAAGTATTCCAAGATCCTTTCCACCATATTATGTTCATGTTCTCTAACAAATGATCATGATTATAATCACGTCCACCTGATTTTTAGATTCTTTGGTTTTGGAGCAGATGTGCTTTCAACACAAGCCACTTCACACACACACACACACACACACGAATCCAGTCCCCACCCCTATTCATGGTGGGCAGAGCCACAAAAATGGATTTAAGCAGGGTTATGGGATCTTGTCTCCTCTCCAGTCAGTGGACGGTGAGGAAGGTACCACAAAGTACGCTAGGCCCACCTAGCACCCTGAAAGACAACGCAAGCGTGGATCAGAGGCTGTGTGCCGGGTTTTCTAAAGCACAATCAAGGCATCCGTTTCCTGACCCAAATCAACCCTTCAGGACCGGCAGGCCTGCCTGACTTGGACAGTGCTGCACGTGGCACCAGTGCCCAGAGCCAGGCAGATGCCCAGGGTCCATCCATGGTGTTCCATATGCTGGTACCCACCCCCTAATCAATCACTGGCTTCTTCAGCCCAGGCATGTTTCTCATAGGGGGGTCCTCCTCTTCACCCCCTGCAGCTATGTCCTTGGCTTCAGCCTTTCCAACACTCCACAGAGGCCAGAGCTTCCAGCTGGCCTCCCTGACTCTAGTCCTGCTCCCAGGGTAACCACAGGGCTTGCTCCATAATGCACTCTGACTCCGCCACACCCTGCTGAAGGCATTTAGCTCCTACACCCCCACCTGGCACGTGGAGCCCACTGCGCCCTTAGTGGGCACCTTGGTCCAGCCTCCTGCGACTCCATCTTGACCTCTAGGGACATCACACCGTTCACAGTCACCTCAAGATTATGGATGCCTTTTTAAAGGTGTCTGGCACTGGGCTGAGAGCTTCGTCTGTGGTCTCAGTTTAGGAAGCAGAAGCTCAGGAAGAGTAACTTTCCCAAAAATACGGCTCCACAGCCTCCCCGCACCAGCCTTCCCTGCATCAGCACCACTGATATTCCAGGGCCAGATCATCTCTGTGCTGAGACATCCTGTGCACTGTAGGATACTGAGCAGCAAGCCTGGCCTCCACCTACTTGATATCAATAGCGCCCAACCCAGGTGGGACAACCAAAAATATCTCCAGATATGCTCAACGTCCCCTGGGGTGGAAGTGAGCAGTGAGAATGCCAGCCCTACCCGGCATGCCAGGCTGGCTCCGCTCGTGCTGTCATGGCCTGGCCTTCTCAACCTGTCATCTGCCACCTGTTCCTTCCCTCTGGAGGCTATAACCCAGGGGCCTCTACTCTAGGAGGCCTTCCCTGTCTGCCCTGTAACCCTCTGCTCAGGAGGATCAGGTACCTCCCCCTCTGTCCTCACCAAGCAGAGCCGTGATTATCAGGGGGGAATGGCAGGAGAGGGAGGACTAGGGAAGCGTGAGGGCTCTGGGAACCACCAGGACTTCATTCCCCTCTCTGTGCAACCTTAGGCGACTTACTGGTTACTCTGAAGGTCTCCGTTTCCTCATATTGAAAACAGAAGTGATACCATCCATAACAAAGTAGTTGGTACCCAATGACTTCATCTGTGCAAAGTGCTAGAATAGGGCCTAGCACATCCTAAGTCCTCAAAAATTAAATATTAGGATCTTAACTATTACTTACTTGACCTCCTGAACTGTATCTAATTCCATCCCCATCTTCCCAGTTCTCAGCACAAGGCTGGCCCAGAGCAGACTCCAAAACATGCTTCTGAACAACCAAATGGATGCAGAATGCATGGGTGCACAGATACACAGATGAATGAGTGTGTGCACAGATGCACGGATGGATGTAAGAGTGCACTGATGTATGCACGCACGGATGGATGGGTGCATGAATATGGATGGATGCCCACATGCACGGATAGATGAGCGCACAGATGGATGGGTGCATGGATATGGATGGGTATGTGGACATGGATGTGTGCATGGACATGGATGCATGCATACATGGTTGGGTACATGGATGTGCGTTGGTGTTTGGAGGGAGAGAAGGTGAAGAGTAGATGAGAAGTGACCTCTGTGGACAAGACCTAGAGCCAGGGTAGAAGATTTACAGAACCCACCCTTCCCAGACACAGCTCTCTTTCTAATAAAGCACACTCCACCTCTGTCAAACTCTTTACCTTGTTTTGATTTGGCTCTACAACATTATTACATCCAATTGTCAGTTATTTTGCAAGGGCTGCCAAATAAAGGTGCACACTGTGCAGGAAAGGATCCCCATCCTGTTGCAATTAAAACTCATGCCCATGAAGACCACTGGTAAGCAGTGTGGGTCCCCATCACAGGGCTCCATCTTCACCACCCCATGGCCAAAAGGAAGACAAAGGGATCTGGGAGAGCCTCTTTCTTAGTGGCCTCATTTCAAAACAAAGTCCTAGCTGGGTCGTATCAAATGGGCCATTAGCTGCAAAAGCAATATTCAAACAAGAACATTATTAAGAGAACCAAGTGGGCAGGAATTCGCACTTTCCCCCAAGGTTCTACCAAATGTCATGAGCTAGATCCAAGGGTATGGCCTGGGACAGCAGGGACCATGCTCAGGCCTCCGGCTCTAGACCTTGGAATTGCCCCATCAGCAATTCCATCCAGACAGATGACAACATCCATCCTTTCTTGGTCCAGAGCAGGAAACTCAGCACAGAGACAGCCACGCAGAACTGGGCTTTGTGCACAGAGCAAACACGGGACTGCAAAGCAAATCTCATTAGAAGGAAAACAGTCTGGTACAGAAAACTGTATCTTTAAAAATTGTATTTAATAGGAACAAAACTGAGAGGGAAGGGGAATATTTTACCTAAACTTGCAGCAGAATTTAAAGTGCCTTTACCTTAGGTTCATAGGCAGAAAAAAAGTAATTAAAAACAGAAAAGAAGTAAAGAGACGCAGACATACACTCCCACACTCCTCCCCAGAAGCACAATGGAGAGGGCGAAGTCAGTCTGGGTTCGAGTCCCAGCTCTGCCTGTCCTCAGCCCCAGGTAGCGAGCTCACTTCTGAGGCTACATCCACACGTGTGTGAGGGGCCCAAACCAGCACCTTCCCACCAGCTAGGGAGCCTCTGTGAGCTGCATCCCGTGAGGTCCTGAGCGAGCCCAACTGCAGCACGTGCTCCACCCACGTCGGCTCTTATGAAACCTGATGGTGCACAGCCATGCAGTAAAGCCTCACAAGTGTCTGCGGTGGGGAGGGGAGCGTGGGGCTGACCGGACTCAGCGGCAACGCCAGCTGTGCGAGAACCACTTACCCTGCCCAGGACATCAAGAGGCAGCTTTGAGTTCATGAGGACTGGCTTGACTTTGTCTCCAGAGAGCAAACCGTTGATGGGTAAGAGGCTTTCAAAAATTCCATCAAATTTTGCCTTTTCTTCTACCTAGTTGGAAGGAAACAGCCTGAGTGAGTGAAAAAGTAAGAGACGCCAACATGAGTTCTGACCTGAAACTGACTGAAAATGAGCAGGTGGTATTTATACACAACAGAATGTTACTCAGTCACAAAAAAACTGAAAAGAAATCTTGCCATTTCTGACAACGTGGATGGGACCAGAGGGTTTCATGCTAAGTGAAATAAGTCAGACAGAGAAATACCGTGTGATCTCACTTGTATGTGGAATCTAAGAAACAAAACAGACAAAACAAAATGAAAACTGACTCATAGATACAGAGGACAAACAGGTGGCTGCCAGAGAGGAGTGGGTGGGGGGTTGGGCAACACAGGTAAAGGGAATTACAGGGTACAAATTTTAAGGTACAAAATAAATAAGCCATGGGGATGTAGCATACAGCATAAGGAATGTGGTCAGTAATGTAGTAACTTTGTATGGGGACAGATGGTTACCAACTTATTGTGATCATTTCATAATACATGCAAATGTCAAATCACTATGGAGTATACCTGAAATTAACATAATATTGTATATCAACTATATTTCAACTGTAAAAAAAATGGTTAAGAAGATGAACTTTATGTTATGTGTATGTTACCACAATTAAAAAGGAAAAAGAGAAAAAGCTGAAATCCGAGCAGAAGCAGATATCGTACATGCGAGTCACTGCAAGCACTGAGGAGCCCGACTCCCTGTGTCCGCCTGGGGCATGGCCTTCTCCCCGGAACTGTCAGACTCGCTGACTCGGGGCTTCAAGAAGCCTGGGAACTTTCACAAGGGAAAGGAACACTTGGCACTTTGGGTTTGTCACTGCTTCTCTGAACGGACCTCGAAGCTCTCTACCCTCTCCTGGTGCCACTTCTGCCCTGACTCCCTTCTTCAAGGCCTTGCAGGCGCCTCAGCTGCCCACCCTTCTCTGGAGGCCTCAACACAGACTCTGCCGCAAAGGGGCCAAAACAGTTCAAGGAATAAGATCCCTTTGGCATTGCTTTTCTCCACAAAGCAGCTCTTTTCCCGGTAGGTGCCGTGTAACTGGACTGAGGAGGAAGAAATCCTTCAGTGCTGTGACTGCCACCAGTCAAGTGCTCAACCGCTCAGGAGGGCAACTTCCTGACCCCTCGGTCACCTGAGGCCTCCGCCTGCCCTGTCCCGCACACACCTCCCCATCCCAACCCTTCCAAGAAGAGAATAGACCAACCCTGTAAAATAAGACAAAACTCCAGGAAGAGGGGGAGGGCAGTCTATTTTATAGCAAGACTGCTATTAATGTCAGTATTTAAGCCAAATTCAAGTGAGGAAATGTGACAACTGCCTTGCAGCGAGTGGGGGAGGTCTCATCATCTGGGAGACCGGCTGAATCCCACAGGAGTTTCTTTAGAATTAAGTCTGCACTTATTAGAAGACACTAGTTGTTAATTTTCTTTCTAGAAGTAGCAACACAGCTCTGCAGCCACAATATCCTGTCTTAAAAAGAACACTTTACGTGCCAGGAGAAGAGTAACAGAAAGGAAGGAATTCTCATGCATAAACTGGCTGGAATAAGAGAGGAAGCTAAGAAGACACCTTGGAGATCTTCATGCTTGCAAATTCTCACAATTTCCTTTTCTGTCCTGATTAACCAACCCAAACAACAAAACCACAGAACGTGACCTAGAAGTGCAAGATTAAAACTGTAAAATTTTAAGAATCCAACGTCTGAAACTTAGCTAATTGCCTTAGGCAGCAACACCCAAATAAAGGTAACAGCCTTTCAAAAGGCTTTAATTTGGAGAAGTATTTTGTCCAAATTCTATGGCATACTCTCTCTGAAACAGAGTAGATGATAGGGTCATCTCATGCAATGTTGTGGATGTCCTAAACAGCTGAAACAACTGTATGTGAAAGACAGCTGAGGGGTGCCCCCAGTCACTCACCCTCACAGCCCAGTGGGCCTCTGCGGAAGGCGGCGTGACCATCAGAGGGCTGCTGGTGTCATGCTGAGAAGAGACAGAAACATTCCGCTGTAGCTGGCATATAATTCCACTACCAGAAGATGTGTTTATTGAAAGGATACAGGTTTCAAAGTGCTTTCAGAAAGGGAAAAGACCTCAAAAAGTGAAACACAGAGTTACCATATAACTCAGCAATTCTGCTCCTAGGGATAGACCCAAAAGAACTGAAAGCAGGTGTGCAAACAATTCCTTGTACATGAATTATTATGTCCGTCAACAGATGAATGCATAAACAAAATGGGGTAGACTGCACAATGCAATCTCATTCAGCAACAAAGAGGAACGATGCACTGACACGTGCTACAGTGTAGATGGACCTTGAGAACGTTATGCTGAATGAAAGAAGCCAGATGTATGATTCCATAAGATGCCCAAAACAGGCAAATGCATAGAGACGGCAAGCCAGTTACTGGCCGCCAAGGGCTGGGGGAGGGGGAAATGGGGTGTGATTACTTAATGGGCACAGGGTCTCCTTTTGGGGTGATGAAAATGCTCTAGAGCTAGATGAAGGTGATGGTTACACAATACTGTATACACACTGTCATTTTTTTAATGGTTAATTTTAGATTATGTGAATTCCACCATAATAAAAAAAATTTAAAGAGGGAGAGAGAACACATGGTAAAACAGATAGATGATATTAGAATGTGAACTTGAAGGATTTCGACACTTACAAATTTAGGTGGCGGCATGTTCAAATTCAGATTGCTCAAGGTAACTTCGTGGCCGCTCTGTGCACAGGCCACTAGTCTCAGTGCAACATAGAAACCCTGCAAAAAACGGGGAGGTGTAAACCCCACCCTGCTGGCACAGCGGCAGTGGCAGAGCTGTCTGCGGCAGAGGGCTTCGGGCAAAGAGGGATTTTTCATCTCACTTCAACAAAGAGCTATGTGTGAAAATCACTTGCAGTGTCGAGGTGAACTGGTCTCACCCTGGGAGCACTGTTTAAGTGAATATACTAAAACAGACTTAGCCCATTGCTTTCTGAATGCTGGAAATTTTCAAATAAATGTATTTTCAAAAATAATGAGCTCTCAACATTTAGGAAACGCTAGATTGTGTAAGTAGCAGACTACAGTTTATGAGTCTAAAGGATGGGTCAAAAATGTGTTGATTTTTTTTTTTAAATGGTTTGGAACAGACGCAGCTGTTTGGGAATGAACACGATTCACTGCAGCCCCCTTGGTCTCACTGAACAGAGTATCCCCCACTCACCCCTCCCCACCCCGGCAATGGCCTGACGTGGACTTCACCTCCCACGCAAGGACAAAGGACTTGAACCAGGCTGCCAGGGACTTTGGCTCCTCCTCACCCTCCTCCTAACCCAGAACCAGCCATGCCACAGGCATAGTGGACTCGTGCAGCATCAGCTAGTTTTTTTTTTTTTCAGTTGATCAACAGGCCTAAGAATGTGAACTCTTTTTAAAATTATAAATTCAACTATGGTTTTAAAAACTTCTTCGAAGAGATGAGCACTAGACCAGCCTTTCTCAGGCCAATGTCTACAGAACGTCCGTGTAGAGTGTAAGGAAAAGAGGACACAAGTAAGGTTAGAAGAACTGCATTAAGCAAAGTGAGCAGGGCTCTCTTCCACAAGGACCCTCAGAGCCCTAAACACAGAGATGTGCACTGTGAACCCCGAGCAAGGGAGGAAGAGCTGGTGGTGCTCCCCGTGGGGGTGGGCCACAGGCCCTCGGACACCAGGAACTATATCCCCGGAATACAGTTTGGGGAAAGACCAAACTACATTAGAACATGACCATTTAAAAGTCACTTGTAAGTACCATAACCTCCCATTTATAGGACATTCTCAAAATGACAAAATCACGACAGAGAAAGAGCCTGTGGCTGCCAGAGGTCAAGGTGTGACTACCAACAAGCAGCGTGAGGGAGACTCTTTGGGGGGCTGAGGAGGTTCTGATCCTGACTGTGGTGACGGTTCCTTGAATCTATGCAAGTGATAAAATTACACAGAACTATATATGCTAAAAACAAAAACCACAAAACAGTGCATCTAAAACTGGTCAGCTCTGAGGCCAGCTGCTGGTTCAGTGCTGCACTGGCTCTGAGCACTCTGCTCTGGTGAGAGCTGGGAGACGAGACACGGGAACGCTCTGAACTATTTTTTGCAACTTCCATGAGAGTCTGACGTTATTTTAAAATAAAACGTTGTGAAAACATTTTAATCACCTATAAGCACACAAAATATTAAAAGATACGCTAACCATGAAAGATGGCTCCGAGAGTTCAAAAGGCCTTTATTTCGAAAGGAAACTTTCCCATTTTAACAGTTTGATGGCCGCACTTATGTCTAGGAATACTTGTCAGTGGAGAAACAAGGAAGGAAGTGCAGAGGTGACCGGCCTGGGGGCTCTGGCCCAGCCCCTCCACTTGCTCTGTGCATACGTGTATATACCTGTTTGTCCAAGAACCCTTTACCTTCTGGGTCGGCCAAGTCCCATATCTGTGGAAACACAAAAATGCTCATAAGTGTGACTGCCAATCATTGCCCATTTATTCACAAAATAGGAGCCACCACCGGTGCATGTAGGCCACCATGTGTTACATGTAGGCCACAACAGTCGCAAACTCAGAGCAGGTGAATAACCTGCACCTTCGATTCCCCCGGGGCACATGGCAGTCAGTGGCAGAGTTCGAGAACACCCCGGTGCACTGGGCTCCAAGGCTGACATAAATCCACAAGCTGTCAAGACCCCAAGAGCGCTCAGGCCTCGTGTCTGCTACCCAAGCAGAGAGTGGCGGCTGCCATTAGAGCATTTGGATCCACCAGTTAAAGCCCCTAGAAGCTTGCAGCAGCCAGCCCACTTCCAAGGAGTACAGACCCCATGAAAAGCCATCTGCACAGGCCAGCCTTTACCTGCTTGGGTTGAGGGGGCTGAGGGTGGCCTTAACAGAGAAATCACTATCATTCATCACATACCTTCCCAAGGATAATGTCTGAGAGCCCAGACTTCTTCAGGAAAAGTGCAGCTTCACTCGCTCCAACTCGCCCTGTGTATGTCGGGTCTACCTGGAATGGGGGAGCAACACTCAAGTCAAGACGTCAGCAACAGAGCAGCAGGTAAAGCAATACCCGTGACATCGGCTGTTGGCAGATAATGTGGAAACAGCAAGAGATGAAAGGCCTCACTAGGCTGCAATTCAGGGCTGTGCTTTCCCAGTCACTCACTCTCTAAGTTAATTTCAAAATAAAAAAAAGACACCAGTGAAACTTACCTGCTTGTAATAAGATTCATATAATGGATTTCCAGTGGGAATCTAGAAACAAAACCACAGATATTGGTCAAAAGTAGACACAAAACCCCTCTTAAAAAGAAAAAAGTGCAACCCCCCCCAGTTTTGTCATCACCAAAATACACAATAGTGAAAATCAAACTTTATACACTTTAAACATCCTCTATACACAGACTGCAGTTTATTTTCAGAGAGAGGTATCACACTTACGCAATGTAGAGAAAGGAAATGCTAATGCTCTTAAATAAGCCCCAATTCCAATGCAAACAACACGGTTGTCCAGGAAGGAGCAGCAGCCCGGAGTCGGTTTCCTCTCGCTGCCCAGTGGGATTTCAGTGTGTCAGGGAGCTCAGAGGGAAAAGACATCCTTATCCTTTGAGATTGTTCTCTGGCTCCGGAACCAGAACAGGAGTTTCTGCACGTCATCTTGACTCACCAGTCACACATCTTCAGACTGGTTTCCCAGCCCCAGGTCTCGTCCCCACCCATCTTGAACTCCACCAGCCACCTAAAGGTCTCTGCAAAAAGGCACTGACCAGCCCCCGCCGCCAGGAGAGCGCTGGCCAGTGACTGCTCCCACTATGACCAGCAGGAAGTTCAAAGTCCTCAGCTCAGCACCAAAGACACTGCACATTCCGGCCATTAGATTCCCTAAGATGTTGCCGTTCATGAGGTAACCACCTTATCTAGGGTCACGTGGCTAATTGAGGCCACGCCTGAACTCAGCCAGGCTGGTGGCCAAACCCTCACACTTCCCACCTTGTCCATGGCCTCTCTTCCCAACCTCGGCGAGCCATCCCACAGTGGGAAGGAGGGGACCTGCAGGAGTGTGCCAGCTGGGGGAGGAATTAAGCAGCCACTAAGACGCTGGCTGTAAAGACTTACACATGTTGGTGTTTTACTGCATGAAAGGAAAAAAGCAGGACACCACAAACCTGCTTCTGGTTTAGTGAGCTAAGGAAAGTGAAAGCACCAATACGTTAGTCGTACGGAAGAACAGGTGTATGAACAGCTAAAGAGAAGAAAGCCAGGAAAAATGAGTACCACAGCAGAGGTGGGATGACAGTGTTTATTTTTAAAGTCTTTGAATGTTATTGTGCAATTTTTCATAAAGAACAAAACTAGGGGGAAGTGAGTTCCTTTCACTTATAATCACTGATTTGAACCAGCCCAACACTTGCATACTGCTGTGCTAGAAGAAGTCATTTCAGGTTAAAAATAATGCCCAGATTACGGTCAGCTTCTCTGGGGGATGTCAACACCTGCAAACACAGGAAGAAGTGAAAGTACAAGAATACCAGCAAGACAGAATGAAAGTAGAAGGAAAAGAGCACAGAGGTCTGAAAGGGGAAAGGAAGTCAAAACAAAAGAAAAGGGGGAAAAGAGAGGGAAATCTTGAAAAGGCAGGAAAAAACTAAACAATTTGAGAAAGAAAAGATGGCACCAAGTAGAAAAATGAAGAGCTAAGTGTACACAGCTCTCTGGCTGGTGCTTCCTCCTGCCCAGGGCCCTCACCCAATACCATCCTGGGGAGACTGTCACCTTTAGCTTCTCATGATTTTGATGGCAGTGTCCACCATCACAGCCCGTGTGACCTCCAGGGTTTAAAACTCTGCATGAATGCATACAACTCAACAGCAAAAAAAACAAACAATCCAATCAAAAAATAGGCAGAGGAGCTACACAGACATTTTTCCAAAGAAGATATACGATAGCTGGCAGGTACAGGAAAAGATGTTCAACATCACCAACATCAGGGAGATGCAGATCAAAACCACAAGCTATCACCTCATACCTGTCAGAACGGCTACCACCAAAAAGACAAGAGATAACAAGTGTTGGTGAGGATGTGGGGAAAAGGGAAGCCTTGTGCACTGTTAGTGGGGTTGTAAAATGGTGCTGCCACTATGGAAGACAGTACAGAGATTCCTTAAAAAAGATAAAATAGGACTACCATACAATCCAGGAATTCCACTTCTGGGTATTTTTCCAAAGAAAACAAAAACACTAATTTGAAAAGATACACACACCCCTATGTCCACCACAGCATTATTTACAATAGCCAAGATAAGGAAGTAACCTTAAGTGTCCACTGACAGATGACTGAATAAAGAAAACGTGGTGTACACACACACACACACACAAACACAGACAGAGGAATATCATTCACTCATTAAAAAGAAGGAAACCTTGCCATTTGTGACGACACAGACGAACCCCGAGGGCATTATGTTAAGTGAAGTAAGTCACACAGGAAAAGGCATATACTGTATGATCTCACTTGTATGTGGAATCTAAAAAAACCAAAAACAAAACAAGAAACCAAACTCACCAATACAGAGAACAGACTGGTGGTTGCCAGAGGTGGGACTATTGGGTGGGCAAAATGGGTAAAGGTAGTCAAAAGGTGCAAACTGCCAGTTATAAAATAAGTGAGTCACAAGATACAATGTATGGTATGGTTCATATAGTTAATAATATTGTACTGCATATTTGAAGGTTGCTAAGAGTAGCTCTTAAAAGTTCTTATCACAAGAGAAAAAATTGATAACTGTGTGTGGTGAAGGATGTTAATTAAGTATTGTGATCATTTCACAATATGTATAAATATCAAATCATTATGTTGTACACCTGAAACTTATGTAACGTTATATGTCAATTACAATCTCAATACAAAATAATTAATCAAACAAACAAGCAAAAAAGCTCTGCATGCTTTCAAACACATCTCCCCAGAAGAGTAAGGCTGACAGAGGAAGCAGAGCAAGGCAGGCTGTTGGCCATCTGTCAGTTAAGGTGACAGTGCTGGGTCCAGATAGCACATCATGTGCCCCTGGCTCATGGGAACAGAATGCACAGACCCCAGGGACCCCCACCTTGACAAAGGTCCCCTTCCTGCCAGCAGTCAGTGAGGCACAGGTCTGAAATGCATTTCCAGTGAGATTTTTTTTAAAGATTTCATAGTAGGCAAGAGAGAGGTTTACAAGCTACCATGATTCCAATGAAAAAAAGAGTTAACTGTATTTGGAGCACAGACGGTTAACAACTGTCTTAAATTTCCCAAATGCTTCGGAACTGGATCCACAATCAGGAGAAAGAAGACCCCAAATAGTCCAGAAAAGGCTCTGAAGCCCTGGATCCATCAGTGCTAAGGGCTTGGACCATTGTTGCTAAGGGTTCATCCCAGAGACATTCCATGGCCAGGTGTCAATCCCTGATGATCTACAACTAATGGAAAACCACAGAGCATGCGTCACCCATTCCTCTCCGAGTACAGGAATCAGTTTGGGTAATCTGGGACAGTGACAGCAGAAGTTCTGATTTAATTACACATACTTCAGGTACTACAAAAGCAGAAAGGGCAAAATGGGAAAACACCACCAGATCTAATTGGCACTTCCTCTTATCACACTACTTCCTCCCAGGGACGGTGAAGTCACACCTGCAAGGTGCCCGATATGCCATTGCAGCAGAGCTGAGGACAAATGCTGCCAATGCCTCGAGTCCCCCAACGACAGGCAGAGACCTCGGGCACAAACAGCTCACTTGTGCAGGCGGCCGCTCTGCTGGGCCAGAGCCCTTTGAGTGCTGAGAGTGGGCAACAGGGACCCCTGCCTATGCCCAACCCCAAAGCAAGCCCAGGGCAAAGGTGCAAAGGGAAGAGGCCAGGGGACAAGGCTTTCAGTGTAAGAGGCTGCAGACAGCTGGGGGATGACTTCGAGAATGGAAACCAGATGGAGCCGGCCCAGGAGGGCTTTCTCCTCCACCAGCCCGCTGTGCTAAGAGGCCGTTTTGACTCTGGATTAGTGATTAGGTTCAATATAACTTTTGATCTGAATGTTCAGTTGGTCTCACGTCTTAAAATACTAAGACATAACCTGAAAAGTTCCCGTGGCCTCTTCACTCTACCCTCCAGCCCAGAGGCAATCTACACATGGGGCGACAGGTAGGGGAGCATGTCAGGGAACAAGTTCACATTCTTCTGTTGAGAGGTCTTTAAAATTTCACAGTTCACACGAGCACAGGCTGAGATGAGGAACACAGGAGTATCACATTGGAGAGGAAACCCTTTGAGGTTCAGTGTTCTAGCCCCTCCTAATCCTCCCAGGACTGAGTTCACCCAGCGCTGACTCCAGTTTCCATCCATGGGCAGGAGCTCTTATGCAAAACAAAGCAAGGATCACTGGCCTTGCTTGTTTCAAAATGACAGTTGTAAAACAAATTCACTTTTGTTTTAAAACTTTTAGAAATAGATAGACAATAAGTTTATACTGTATAGCACAGGGAACCACATACAACACCTTGTAATAACTTACGGTGAAAAAGAATATGAAAATGAAAATACGTATATTCCTATACGACTGAAGCGCTGTGCTGTACACCAGAAATTGACACAACACTGCAAACTGACTATACTTCAATAAAAATATTTTTTAAAAAAGCTTTTAGAAAGGTATCTATAATTCCTTGTTCTGATAAATAGTGGATCACATTTACTGAGCGCTCACTCTTTTCTATCCTGTACTTATTTAATCGTCCCAACAGTGCTATGGCAGGTACTACTCTTTGCTCCAATTTATGGGTGAGGAGACCAAGGTTACCTTGCCCAGAGTCACACAGCCAATGAGTGAGAAGCCAGAGTGTGGCCCTAACCTACTTTGCACCCTGCAAAAATAGCCCAGATACAACAGAGCCGAGCACAGGGCCATAGCACAGCCTCCCGTGCGCGCTTGCCTGAGAAAATGCAAACACGTGATTATGTCATGGTGCATTTTATTCAACAGACAAGGCCAAAGTGCAAGATTTGACTTCATATAAACTGACTTGAAAACCAGCACATCCTGCCATTTTCCCAGCAAAACTGAGAACCCATACTGGCTGTGTTTTTCAAAGCTGTGGCCAAGTTTTGCAGGAAGTTAGGCACATGACACCAGAAGACATCTCCGTCTGAGTTCCTGCTTGGAAAACCAGCTGCTGATGCAAAAACAGGGCTAGAGAAGAGCTCACTTGATAGTCCCTGCATTCCACTTTCCACTTAGTTTCCCTCGCTGCTTGCACAACCTTTATTTCAGCTGTGTGCATGGTCCTCCTGGCAGACCTGACCACATT